TGCAAATGAAAGTCAGATTGAAAAATTTCATACACCGTTGAGCACGTTGTTTAATTTCCAATCCAGAGGCATTCAAACCAAAAAATGTAAAATTGAAAAATGCATGGTTACAAGAGTTTTTTTTTTTAATTTTCAAGTTGTGTGAGTCTGCTGCAGGACTTTATGCATTTATCCTTTGGTCCTCTGGCCAAATGTCAGATGTCTCGTCTAGAAGGGAATCCAAATTGAAAACGCAGCGTTGAGTGAGCGTGCCAAATGCAATTATTCGACGTCTGCCATCTAAAAATGCCAGAACCTCTGGGATTACGACCCCAAAAAAGCATCTGCTTTCCCGCTGGGCGTGGGTGGGGGATGTTTATTTGGTCTTTGGTCGAGGACCACACCCTATAACCTTTAACCTCACCTTGCTGCCCATCCTCTGGATGGATGTGCGTTAAAAGTCACGATTAAGCGCCGCATCAACCCACCGAATGAAAGGCACATTTTCATTTCCACATCCCCATGATGAGCTGTTGACTCTTCATATTTTTGTATTTTTGGTCTCGGGTTCTTGGGCTTGGGTTTGGGTTTTCCTCTCTATCCCGGGGGTGGATGTTGGCCTGGGCTTGGCTTTCGGGGCATAAACTGCATGAAATTAAGTAATTAACTGGCTGAACTTCACTCCACAGGTCACCTCATGCGGCTCAAAAGGTCACATCAATATGCCATCAGTCATGATGAATGTGCGCTGATTTATCAAGTACAATAATGATGTTTACGAAACCAAAAAATAACTAACAAATATAGATTGGCTTGTGATTAAGATCTTTTTACTTAAGAGTGTCAGATCGAAAATGATCTAACATATGTAATAGGTTATGTGAATGTTTAAAAAGTACCTTATAATAATATACTTACTTTAAAGATATAAAATATACATTATATATTTAATGATGACAAAACTCATACCAATTTATTGAGATTAAGATTTTATTGTAAGTAAACCTTCGTTGTTAAATATAATTCTAATGATATACAAGCCATAAAAAGCTTTGGAACATCTCTGTCATTTTGGTTCCCGCCCAAAAGTTGCTCCCAAATCGGGGCATATAATTAGTGACTTGATCTGGGATCGGGCATTAGGGATCACAGCTGTTAGGTACCGAATGATTGCCGCGAAATATGTGTGTTATTCCTTATATGTTATATGTGTATCTCACTTGAACCCGGGCGCACACAAACGAGTTTGCCCCCGAAAATAGCTTTGTTGGCCCCTTCTGATCCCCGATTCTCGATTCCCGAGTCCTAAGTTCCTCTTCTAGTCGCAGTTCTTGTCGGACATGACATAGGAAAACAATAGACGACGGCCCTCCGGACAATGGACCACATCTATATAGATATATATATAGGTGGAACAAAGGGGCCAGGCCAGGAGTGACCAGCGGTCGAGGTGGAAAGTTCCCAAGCTAAGTAAATGGAAGTACATACGGAAGTGTACAAATAAATAAATGGACGAAGGCGCAAAGCGCAAGATCGCGAGAAAAATGCAAATGAGCTTGGGACATTAAGTACTGGTCTCTGGACTCTGGTCTCTACTGACCATTGTCCAGTTTCGAGACCATAAAGGGGTTGCTGGTCTTTGGTCTTTGGTCTTATTTCGGAGGTCGTCTTAAGGTGGGATAGGACACACTGCCGAACTGCACTTTTCCTTTGCATCCCTCCCAAAGAATCCAAATTCCAGTTTTCGTTGTGCTCCCATTGTAATGAGTTCGCGCTCGTTACTCACCCCGTTTCCCCTGGAGATCTCTCACCCCTCCCCTGATCCTGACCTTATAGCCTAACCCTTCCCCTCGCCGGAATTGCAGTTGGTCAGCAGTCATCATCAGCAGTCGCCTTAATTTACGGGCCCTCGGGCGACCTCATTTGAATATTAGTTGGGTTGGTCCTTCTTGGTCAATGATCTTGATTTGGGCCGGACCTCTGTGAAATTGCCACCGCCAAGATATTCCAGATATTCTCACATCCTTATGCATTACACGCTTGACCAGCCGATCGTCCTTCCCCATTCCACTTCTTATATCCCATTTTCTAGCCCCTCTGAACTCATATTTCACTTAGCTGACCAGTCCTGGTCATCCCGTTTTCGGAGCGGTCAACATGCGTATTACAATTTGATCCGGAATCCCTTGATTAGGAATTTGTTTTATGACGCAGTCACTGTTTTTTTTTTTACTTCTTCCTTTTCGACCCTTGCTCCTTGGCCGTTAAAATGATAATTTATGGATCCGCGGCCAAGGTCCTGCCGCATCCTTTCTGGGTTAATGAGAGTTTGATCTCGCGGCGATTTATCTCTGGTCTTCCAGAGGGCAGGCGAAATATCTTATTGATGGGATTAGCTAAGGAATGGGGTTATCACACTACGAGATTTCCCAGGCCAGAGAAATGGGTATAGAAATACGTGGATCTGAAACTAAAGGTATTTATTTCAAAGATTAAAGAATTTACTAAAAGAAAGATAACATTTAAGAGGTATTTTACGATTATAAACTTAAGATCCGATAGATAGTTTTATGGGCTCTTTAAGTTAAATTTTGGGTAACATAAGACTAATTTTCTTAAATATTTATATATAATATAATATAATGTATAACAGAATTGCTGGCTTGGAAATTTAAGGATCTTTGAACCTCTGTCATAGGTATCTTTATATCCATGGCAGTAAACAATCCATAATTTCCCCTTTTCTCTCCTTTTCTGAGATACCCCCATTTAAACACGCTCCATTTTCGCTATCTTTTGATCCGTTGTCTGTTTTTCAGATGTCCTGGCCCCTCGATATTCTCGGGCATTTAGTATCCTTAATTGCAAGTTGTTTCAGTTTCAGTTTCGGTTTCGCAGTTGCAAGTCCAGCTGAGCTCGGGATATCCTGAGACCCACCGGACCCGAACCCGAACCCGATCGAAATGAGGTCAGTGACTGAGGAACGAGATCGGGATAGGAAAAGTGAAGAAGAAGGACAGGCTGGCAGGACCCTTGGGCATTGTGCCAAGGCGTAACGGTTTTCGCCGCCTTTGTTTTGCTCATTCCTCTTACTTTTTTTTTTAGTTGAAAGTCCAGGACGTGTCCTTTGAATGGCAGGGCAAATTAAAGCAGGGCAACTTTCGGTCAAGGATTAGCAGGACTTCAGTGAAGTCATCCTTCAACGGTCAGTTTGAAATTTAAGGAATACAGAAAAAACAAGGAGAATGATTTAAAATCACTATTTAAGATATGGTAATGCTTACATTGTTATTATTAGGATCCAAGAAGTGACAAATACACACAAATTCTTAAATTAATTACCCAGAAATATAATCTCAAAACTGCTAATATTTCATTTAACTACCGAAATGCTATGATTGGCTTAGAGCCAAAGACGACCCATGTACAGCTTCCATAATGGAGTGCAAAAACTGACATTTTCCAACCCAAAAATGGCCCTTGACTTCGGTCTAACCCCCACAACCCCTGATGAAAACGGCCCAACCCTTAGCATCCCGAGATCCTGAGATCACGCGAGTCCAAGAGTCCGAGAGTTGAAAGTTCAAAGAACATTCTCGGACATTTTTAATGAAATTGACATGGACCCTTTGGGTTGAAAGAGATCACACATTGGTGGCAGAAAATTCAATTAGTTTTTGGGCTGGAAAGTTCAAGATTTTCGTGTGCCATTGGACATTGGTCAGCGGATCAAAAGGGGAAAGGGTAAACTTATCTAGCGCAACGAAACAGGATGTTGTCCAAGAATAAGATGGAAAAGGGTTAAGTCGCCAAACGGGTTTTTGCTCATCAACCGTTGTTGATTTATGGGTTCGCCACCCCTTTTCCCTTTCTTTTTTTTTTTATTCTTCATTTGGGTCAAAGGTGACAGATCAGATCCAGATCCCCGGGGCGCAAGTAGAGCAGCATCCCAAAACGGGATGATGATGATTATGATGATGATGCTGATCTTTCCCTGGCCACTCGTCTGCGTGTTAAAATCCCTAACCCTAAATCGATTGTCCTCTGAAGAGATATAGACAATCTGCTATCAGCTGCCTGACCAATTAGTCAAATGTCTTGCACAGAGGCCCTCTCAAAAGATTTCTCTGGGAAAGTACTTATGATCTGGAACCAAGAGTTCAAAATATATGTGTTTCAACACACCAGCAGCAGTGGCATTTCAGTATTTCAGGTGAAACAAGTTTCGGTTTTCCACAATTTCAGCATCATTTGGCGGCTCGTTCTCAGCACCTTTTGACCCCGCAGACGAGTGTCGTTTTAACTGCGCCCAAAAACGAAACAAAAACCGAAAAAACTGACTTACTGAAAAAATCAGACTAAGAAACACCAGCAGCTAACAACTCGTAATATGTTTTTATTGCCATAAAAGATATGGTGCTGCGACTTAGATGAAAGCTGACCGAACTGGCTAAGTGGTCAGCAGTTTCCGTTAGCCCTCCGTGTTGGCCATCTTTCCCCGCTTATTTCACTTTATATTATTTCTCATTTTTGACCAAGGTGGCCCAGACCAGGTGTACCAACAAAAAGGCGACAAACACCACACACTTAATTGCTCATATCTGTCACAACGGCAAGTTCGAGATCTGCTCTTCATGTCATGTTTATTTGCTTGGGAATCTACAAGATACTTTTTAGGGACTCCTTTGCTGGGTGCTCCAGAAGAAACTTGAATATTTCACATGCTACGCAGTTCGGTAACCCTTGAAAACCTTTATAAGTTATCGATTTGACTAAATTTTATGTTTATGGGAATCTACAAGATTCTTTGGGGGATTTTTAGTAGGGTTTTCGAGAAGTAAATGGAATAATCTACGCGCTTAACCCTTTTAAAACTTTATGAATAATATAATCGTTACTAAAGTGTACTTAAATAACATTGCCTTAAATCCATTAACAAATTTTGAAAATTATCATATCATATCATATCATATCATGATATATATGATTATTATAGCTACGATGGTAAGTTAAGCCTTTTTTTATGGTATACATTTACTTTTTTAATTTGCAAACATATATTTTTAAACACGTAACTGAGTTTGCGACTTGCAGTTAGAGAGCAATCAAATTGTGTGACAATCATAACCAAGAGTTACTTTTTCCAATTAATTTGTAGTGCGATGTAGCACGAAAATGGTTTTTTTAAACGAAAAATTTGGAAGGAATAAAACGGAAAGCACATAAGTTCTGTGACACAAGTTTCTAGGCATATTCCTGGTTCGGTTTGAGGCTATTAGTTCTGCGAGTGTAGATGCCCAAAAAGGTCTTGCATTGGGCACAGAAGACATACTCCCGCTCATCGGGGGGGATAGGCATGGAAATAGGCACTTTAGCCAGGAGCAGCATCCGGAATTCAGATCGGAGGCACTCTTGACCACCGGACGTCTTTTGTAACAGCAGGCCGGGCAGAAGAGACTTCCCTCGTAAGCACACCACTTGTTCACGGAGTCCTTGAAGTACATCTGACGGAGGACCTTCATATCCTCCTCGGCACAGGGACATAGGGCATTCCAGGGTTTTGGATATGGCAGAGTCTTGGTTGCTGGACCCGTATGATCCTTGGTCTTCGGATATGAATTGTTCTTGTTTTTCGACAGATCCTTGGGTGTTCCAAATGGGTTATTATCCTTTGGTTTTCTAGAAGCATGGGCCTGGGAACATGGACCTGGCTGAGCCTTTTTGGCGGCTAAATTGATTGTTGGAGTCGGGGATTTTCTAGTCGTGGGGTCTCCAGAGATCCTCTTCTTGACTTTAGCTATTCAATAAAGGGGTTTTTGGAGAAATAAATGTATTATATATTATTACATATTAAATATGAATATATGATTGGTGGCTTTTTAATTTGTTATAACAAGGTGAAATAGAAAATAGAGAAAATATTTCATATTCTTTATGGAGTTATTAAGCAGTTATAAAAAATGTATGAATCTAAATGATTTATGTTAAATGAGCATTCTGATATGTATATTTATGTATAAATGTTGGATCTAAATAATTTATGATTTATCATACCTTTAATATCATATTCTATTCTATAAAACAGATGGTTTTCATTGCATTTAAATGAAAGAAGATGTCAACTTACCGTACTCCAATCCATCAGCAGTGTGGGAATCCGAAGGATTCAAAATCTTGCTGATCTGCGACATACTCCCGCCGCTTCCGCTGGATCCACGTCCCGAAGACAGCATTCTATGGATGTTCCTGATATTGCCACTGGCATCCGCGAACAACTCCGGGTGTTCCATCTCGATGTGGCGGACCAGACCACCGGTATCATATCGGGAACATCGGACCACCTTCATGCATTGGGAACAACGCACGCACTGCTCGTCGTTGTTGATCTTCTTCGAGTTTTGTTGGGACATCTCAGATCTTTTTTTAAAATATTTACTAAAAAAGTCGAATTATACTTTACGCAGCAAAGGTGCTGTCGAGAATGACTGCGAGAAATGGGGTCTACGAAATGATTGACTTGAAGTTTTAACATCACAGCCTACTTGATTTTAAGATTTGAGATAATATGACTCGTAAATGTTGTTAAAAACATTTTTATCAGAGGTGCCAAGCAAAACTCTTCCACTTTTAGTTATAATAAATAACTTAAAGAAATTCTAAACGTCTTAGCATAGAGGGGATTTTTGATATACCCCTGTATAAAGAATGTATTTGTTTGCCAGGCCTTTTTAAAGAGCAAAAACTAAACTTTAATATGTATACATTCATTTTTAAACAATTCCCTATATTTATTTTGATTCAAAGCCCCGAATAGCTTTTGCAATTAGAACCAAAAGTTTGACTTAACAAATCCATCAGCAACAACCGCATCCAGTGGTGCATCATGCAATTTTCCTCTTCAATTTCCATTTTCCATTTGCCGCATTCATAAAACAAACAGAAAAACCGAAGAAGAAAAAAAGAAACCTAGGCGAAATCATAATAAATATCTCGCGTAAATGCAACAAATTTGTGGCGCATGCGCAACCAGCAACCGGCTGCTGTTGCCGTGTAATTAACAAAAACAACAGAAGAGCCCACCACCACCCACTGCACCACCTGCACCACCGCCCCCTGCCCCCGCCCACTTTGCCACCTTCGATGAGCTAACCTTTTTTGTTGTTTCTCTCTCTGTTTTTTTTTTTGTTTTTTGTTTTTTAACTGACGGCACGCGCTGCGCTGCGATGCAATTTTTGGTATCTGCAAGATACATTCGCCGCTTTTATGATTTACACTCGCCTCGCTTTATATAATCGGATCGGGCCTGCACAACCTGCACAGCTGAAACAGAAGCATTTCATAATTGAAAATGTTGCAACTATTTGGTGGTAGTAGCTCCTCCATCCATCCATCCATCCATCCATCCATCTGTTTGGTCGGCTGACTCTTGGCTGCGTTGCATGTTTGATTTCTGCTAATGCAATGCGGCATCTTGTTGCTGTTGTAATTAACAGCAGTGTTTTTTTTTTGTATTTTTTTTGTATATCTTGGGGCCTTTTAAAAGGCCTCCAAGGCATCCAAACATCCAAACTCCGTTCGGTAGGAAGTGGCCGCATATCAATTGCCTGGAAATGCGATCAAATCACTGCCGGGTTTCGTTCGGAACACCCAGCAAATAGTTTTGCTTTGCAAGCACCCATAAACACAGTCGATAAAGCTGCGATTTCAAGATGGGTTTTTACTAGATATATCTTTACTTTCCCTAATCCTAGCTAGCTTTACTTAGCTTGGTTTATATTTGAACTTTTACTTGATGGTTCTAAAGGAAACAAATTGAACCTAAGATAACTTTGAAAATGATGTAATACAATTTGATACTTTAATTTATTAAAAAGAAATAATATACTCTTTATTAAATTTGACTGTATGTATGATTTTTAGGTGTCTTAAACATTGTTGTATAATTATTTTAGCCCGGCAGAGAATTCCAAAATTCCCAAGAGCCCTCCATTAGTCACATTTAAATATGGAAATCGCCTGGAGATCAGTTGACAAGGCCAAAAGCTGCACACTTGGGTCTCAAGTTCGTGGGCAAAAAAAGAAGAGTGTAGAAGCTCTTCTCGCGCGGCGCCTTTCGTGATGGTCGGTTCCCAAAGGTATTCGCTTACCATGTCCGTGATCCGCTATCGCATGTCTAGTATCACTTTCGATCGCCTTATCATCGCTATCATTTCTGGAAGGAAAGAGAGTCTCTCGGGGGGCCACTTTGCGCACGCGCAGTGCATCACGTTTAGCCAACACCAACACCAACACCCGGGCAGCTCGCACGGATACGGATGGATGGCCAAATGGATGGCCAAATGGATGGATGGATGGATTGTCCGCGGAGGAACAGGAACTCGGGTTTCGCTCATATGAACGCAGACTGGCTCCAGACGGTCGTGTTATCCGAAACCAGCTCTTACGTAAGGAGGCTGCACCCCAGCTCAAATAAAATTGCCCACTCAGCTTATCCGCTATTAATTGTTTCCAGAAAAGGTTTGTATAATTGTTCTCCACAAAGCATTGCTTACTAAAGAAATAAACTGCAGATAACTCTTATAAATATAAATACATTTGTAGGTGAGTGTAAATATGAGCTATGTGCCAATCATTGTTCTTTTTTTTAAGCCTGTTATACCAATTTTTAAATACAAACCAATGTATCGATAATTCGACCATATCAATTTAAAGATTTAGGGTAGCACTGCGATTGTTTTTTGTGATTTTTATGCTGAGCTCGTAACTTCAAAAGGTAAGAGAAGTGAAGAATTGGTCACGCGCCGGAATTAACCGTAATCTACCATCATCATCGTGATGATCACTCGCCCCGTCTCTTTCGCTCGCTGAAGATCGATAAACGATTGGCAATGTGTGTCGTCCGTCGATTTCCTGCTTCACACATTAACAGTCCATCGGTGTCCGTAACCCCATCTTTATCGATTGGAGAATTGGTGAAACAACACTAACAACCCAACTCCCCAAAGAGTTCTCCTCTTTTCTGCGAGTGTGTGCCATGGGTGTGTGTATCTGTGTGATGGATTTCCCGAAAGGTATGAGTATCGTTGGGTTTTTTCGACGGTCACGTCCCCCACATAAATATCCATAAAAAGTAATGCTCACATCCGTCCGGATGAAATGCGTTCGTGTTTGGCGCGAGAGCAAAAGCAGCGGGAAGAGAAAGAGAGAGATAGATAAAGGAGGGAGATCTTTGGGAAGGGGGTTAAAGATTAATATTACACGTAGAAAAAATATTATCTAAAATTTCAACTACTTTGATACATATTTATAGGCTTTTGAAAACGGTTATTTATTTTCTCTCCGTGCCATAGTTTGAAAATCTTGCAACACTTTCGTTCATTCTCAAGCCTTCAAGCCTGCTCTATCGTAAATCATAAGCGATAAGATAACACCCATAAAAATAAGTCAAAACCTTCACACGATCAGAGCGAAATCAAACAAAGATATAGACACTGGCATACCTGAGATGTCCGCATCACTTACCATCCATCCCATCCGTCGCCCAGTCGAATATTCGATGGAGTTATCGGGCCCAACAGGCAGGTGTCCAACACATCGGGGCAAACACAAACGGGTATATCTCGTAAGCTAAATATATATGTATATTATCCAGAGGGTCCAGGGAAAATACACACGAGAATCCGAATCCGAGAGTGTTTTGATTTGTTGCCTCATTGGTTTCGGTTTTTGGGTTTTGTTTGGGCTCATTGCGGTTCAGTTGATTCAATATTTACCCTGCTTATCGAGCACCCACAATCCGTAGCCCAGGGCCCAGAATCGGGATTCGGGTTCAGATTCACAGCGTGTCGATAGGAAGAAAATGGGTCAGAGTGGAGTTCAATCGGGGGGTTCCAAAACAACAGTATACCTTGTTGTACGGAAAATAAATGTGCTATGTTTGATATGAACTGAATTGTAAAAAAAACCATATGAAAAAGAGATCGGGGTCACCACACTACAAACTCTTCCAAAATACTAAGCAAATAGGTAAAAACTCTTCATCCCATATCCTTAATGATATATGTTTTTATAATAGATCTCGATACTAACATAGTCCCTGGATATTTTCGGTGAAGGCTCGTGTCGGGGTCACCACTCAAGTAGCGCCAGCAACCTCCAATTGAGTCTCACTTCTAGCCCAGACCTTCCTCGTGGAACGTTCTATCGGAGGCTTCTGCCCAATTAGCCGAATATTTAGTATTTGATATCGAGTATCAAGTATCAAGTATCGAGTACCGTGTGGCAAGGTCAACGGATTCTTCGCCACGTAGCGCCTTGAACGCAATTTACCGGTGGCCATTCGAATATTTACAATCCAAGTCCACATCCGCCCACCAGCTGCTGCTTCTTCTGCTTCTGCTACTGCTTCTGCTGCCATCTTGGCCACATCATCGACGGCACCTTGGTGTTTGGCCAACAAACCAACCAGTCAACCAACCAACTAGCCAACCAACCAATCGAGTCAACACCCATCGCACCAACACCCAGTCAAGGCTGCTAATGTCGTGCTGAGCGGACCCACATCCTCCCGGCTAATTATTATTCGTTCTTAACTTGTGCAAATAATTCAATTAGCCAATTATTGTGGCTTTAAACAAACAAGTCGATTGGGCAATACACTTCAAATATTTTTATTAAAAAAAGCAACATATCATAAAATTATTATAATAAAAGAAAGTCCTTAGAATTCTAAAAGGGAGTAATATAAAAAAACAAAATAGTTATTGATATGGCATCCTGGTAAGTTAAAAAACCCATAAGATCTTGGGATACACCCATCTTCATAGCGAATATGACCAAATGGAAGACCCATCAAGGTGCTGAAATCAATGTCGCAGTTATTAGAGTGAAAAAGTAAAACGGAGTCATTGCAAAAGCGTCAAAAGACAAATCAATTACCAATTACCAAGTATCTACATATCCAGCTAACCATATTGTACATATCTAGATATATCCATATGTGTGCTACTGCGGGGCCAACAAACCCATTTAACCCACAAGTGGCCAATGTCTTGTGCTGCGTCCGTTTAATTATGGAAAATGATCATGACAGAGAGCATTTCCTGTCCCTGTCTGCGCTTGCGTTTGCGTTTGCTTTTGCGTTATGTGGCCAAAGTGTCTTTCTCTTTTCCATTTTCAAAGTCCAGACAACATACTTGAGACTTGAGACTCGTACCTGACCACCTCCCAGAGACCCCAAACCCCGAACCCCACCTCCTTTTCATTCACTTTGATAATTTCTCCGCACTTTGGCGGCGGCATCGGACATCGCACATCGTACATCGTACATCGCACATCGGACCAATCCAATACAATACAATCCGATGGCTTTTATGAGCCCATGGGCCCAAATAGTTGGGCCTCCGGGCTGCATCGATCTGCTCCCAGAATTTTAAGTACTTTGCCGATCTGGCCGGCTGCCCAAAGAGATCCCAGTTTTCTTGATTCCCGGGGTTTCTTGA